ATTCAGCCACTGGGACCCGATTCATCAGCCACCCCACGAATTCCAAGTGCTACCAATCGGTGATTTTAGCGCGACCACCAATCCCAAACTAGGATGAAACAGCTGTCCAGTTTAACAGTTCTCTAACTGATACCAATCCGTGGTCTCACCTCAAAACAAATACAACCCCTAAAAACTAATTCTTGAAAGTTCTTTGATAAGCTAAAAGACCGAAAACTACATCCAGAGTTTATGGGAATTTGGGATTAATTTCACTTGTTAGATTTTCTTTATGAACCAACACCAGTTAGAAAGAGATCATTGAAAACCAAAGGGTACTAGACAGTTATTTCGTCCTAGTGACTCGGACTCTTCAGCAGCATAGTGCAGCCATGATGCCACCAGAGGTTGTATCCCCAAACCTTCAGGTTACAAGATCAAGTTCGTTAAGCTTTCAGCCATTTGGGCTATGAATTCTGACTTTTCGTGAAATCTCGCTACCTTCAACCGACCAATCTCTCCGATGAGCGCCCCACTGGTTAAGACTTCGCATAGACGCTTCAGGAAATCCTTCTAGTATACATCATCAGACATTTGATGATTGTCCAGTGCTCCCTGTTGGTCTTCAATGATCCCTCTAACCGGTGTTGATTCGTGATGAACCTCTAATAATTTTAAGAAAGGAAAAGTCATCATCAACATCAGTGTACATAAGACTGATTAAGTGATCCCCACACGTTTTCGATGTTAAAGAATGACTTAATTGTGAAACTTTCATTATCCATCTAGATAACATCTTCAGCGCTAACTTCATGACATGATACATGGTTTTTGTCATTTGCTGTTAATATCCACAAAATAAGAAATGCCAGTGATAAACTCCACCAATGAATACGTTTCTATTGGGAAAAAAGCCAGTTAAATGGATTGTTTGACAGCGGAGGGTTAAATACGGACAATGCAAAGCATATAGAATAATGACAGTCATAATCTCTTACTCCAACAATATATATATATATATAAATTTATTCCAAGGTCCTCTTAATTCAAATAAAAAGCATTGCCTTTAAAATTACCCTCAGAATGACACAGCCGAACGTATTTATTGCTCTTTTATTTATGCATTTCTATATATATATATATATATATATATATATACATCATTAAAAGTCCCGTATAATAATATTTCATTGAATGAAGTAAAATAATGGTACCAGTAGTGGTTAATCTGTCAAGAAGAATCGATTACCGACCACTTGAAATTATAAATCATCCATCATTTTTCTTTTTTTGAAAATGCGATGTTTATGCTCAGCTGAGTGAGTGTAAGTCTAGACAAACTTAACAGTCAACCAACCAACCATAAGCGATACTAGTCACTAGGTGTTGAGAATAATAGATGATTGAAGACATTCGGTCGAAAGCCTTGCTTCACTTAGGTTTCTTGTTTTTTTTGTTTGATGGCACTTACTAGTAGCTAGCAAGGCGCATATGCAATTCCTTCTGAGATGTATCTTGGCGGCCTGCTACAAACTTGGGCTACCAAAAACTTCTACCTCTCTACTGTATGTATTTTCTCTAGCTCGGTTTGTTTGAATCGATTAGGACATAACTTCTAGTGGTATTACCTACTCTTGTGTGTATTTAAAATGTTTACAAGCGCCTGATTCTCTAGTCCCTGGTAAACTTGGGAAAAGGCCTGATTGTAGGTGGTAACATGTTCCAATACATGAGATAACTTTTCTTCACTTGTGTCCTTGGGCGTCGAAATGTACTTCTAAACATCTTACAATTGGCTTTCAACTAGATTTTGTGGATTTCTTGAAGGCGACAAAGTAGATATATCATAATGGAATGGTTTGAACTTCAGTTCAGAGACAATTGTGTCATAGAATATACTGTCAATTAATATTTTACTTGAAGATAATGTATAAAGGGAAAATATCATGCAATAAACTCTTCTGGAAATTGTACACATTTTATAAATACGGTACAGAATTAAGATGTTATTAATATCTTTTTTTAAAGATTCGAATCCACGTCACCCAGTGAGTGATGTATTCAGAGACATTACTAGCAAAATATTCGCGCTCGCTATTGACCTCCTAAACGCACGACACCAGTATGCAGTATAGCCTTACACAGGAGGTCAATCATGAATAGTTAAGTAGTAACGCCTTTGACCACAAGATTGGGTTGATCCGGATTCTAATCTCAGTAGGGTGAACATGAGTTTTTATCAAGATTGCAGATATGCCTTGCTGACTGGTGGGTGAGTAACAACAAGCACGAAACCTAAGTGGTTCGAAGGTTCCGGCCGATTTCTCCCAACCATCTAATAAGAACATTTCAGAGTGGTTAGTGACGGTGATTCATCTATCATGGTAGTCGCATTTTAAGCTTGACTGACAATAGAATTCAGCCTGCACCAGCACCAAGGACTAGACATGTGACACTAGTTACTATGTAGTGTCCACTCAAAAGTTGATGATAATGATGATATCAATAGTAATTTGGTTTTAGCTTATTACTGCTCAACAGAGGTTGCCTGCTGAACTATATCGTAACTAAAACTCAGTTCACTTTAGAATATGTGAGGTCAGTCAGCTTCAGGTGAGAATAAACAACGTGTTTAAAATAGAATTATAGGATGACAAACGGTTATGGTGTTTGAAAGTGACCAGGCAGAAAAAATTCCCAGAAGTAATTTTTGTATTTCCCTACTCAACGGATTAAACATCGTATTTCGCCTCTAAATAAGAATTCAACAATGGTGCTTCACTATTTCTCATTTCTCCCAGTCCAAAATAAAAAAGAAATCAAGTTTGGTCTCTCATTAACTTTAATAAGAGAACCACTTGGGAAAACCAGGGAGTACTAAACAGCCACATACTTCCTTCTAGTTCAGAAATCCTCATCAGTACGCATCTATCACCCTATCGAGGATCGAACTCAAGACCTTCAGGTAACAAGGCAAGCTCGCAGCCCATTTAGTCAATGAGACGGAACCAAATGGCCTATGAATCCTAACCTTTTGTGTCAGTTCACTATACAACATATAGTCCCAAGGCCAGCTGATGTCGTTGGCGAGTATTTATTTCCACATATGAGCGTAATGACAAAAAAAGCTAATCTGAACAGCATTCAAGTTAGTGATTTTTCAGGAAGATCACAGAGATTTCAAAAACAAAAAAACAGGAAATTAAATGTCTCTTCATGATGACATATCTGTTTTGGAAAATGTGTCTGTCATTTTACTAGTTCCGATTCAACAAGAAACCAAAGTTGGCCAGACAGAATTAAAATCTCTATGTTGACTGTTGTATACATGTAATTAAAAAGGGGGAAAAACAACTGAATATTTTATTTTATTTTATTCAACTCATCCATTTATATATAAATGTGAATTCTGCTCAGACTAGAGTTACCGTTCAAGAATAAGATAAAACCTTTATTTGGCTATTTATATTGACTGATTTTCCTTAACTCTTCCCATATGATATCGATTTTTGCGGTCATTTAAATATCTCATCTACATGTATACATAAAAATTTTAACATTGAGAAAGAAAAAAGAGACTCTAGTATTTCATTCTTAGACGTCCTTTTAACTAAAAAAGAGGCCAAAGTACCAACAGTTCCGAAAAAGACCTTATTCTCACAATTTCAGTTCCTCGGGGATAACACCAGTGAGATATTAACAAAACGCCTAAGGAATACAGCGGTAAAAACAGCATTCAGTGCTGCTGGCTGAATTATGCTGTGTCTTCAAAACCACCTACTCGTATTTTGCGTTCGGGAGTTAAAGATAAACTGCCTAATTTTGCCTCTTCTATGCGTATCCACCAATTTGACTGCTCCGGTGGAGCCAGTTACATAGACCATACAGTTAGGCGTGTTTATCGTCGAATTTTCGAACATCATCCTGCGTGGTTAAGTAAGGGACCAGCAAACTCCATTCATAGTTCTATCCTATCTCATCTCGTAGATACAGAACACAAGACTGATGTTTACGAGGCGGCTTTCAAAGTCATCTACCGTGCATACCAACTAATCTTAACTTTACCTTAAGAGTTTGTCTACTTCATATTGCTGAGGGTGTTGGAATCCATATTAAGCAATTTAACTTATATATGCAAAAGAAGTTGGTTCAGACACTGTCTTTACCTTGGCCATCACGGCTTTTAATGATCCTCAATTCTTTTGTAGAAATTTCCTTAATTTTATTTGATATTCTATTAGCTATTACATTTTTATGCTTATTACAACTTAAGCGTCTTTCTTGATCTGTAATTTCATTGATCTTACTTAAAAAATCGATAGTATTTCAAAAACACTGAAATTTGTAGTGACAATTATGCTGCAATATTCTGTGTAGATAAATATATGATCTATAACTGTAGAGCCAGGAGAGGAAGTTATCGAAAAGAATACTCTGTGTTCAAATTTTTCTTCGTTATGTGTAAATAATTGTTTTATGCTGCTATCATGTGAACAATGATAGCATGAAGAATATACGGAATTTCATACCATACCTTAAATTATTTATTGAAATTGAACCAATTTAACTGACATTGAACACGTTTGCCAATTTGAAAATATGGCGCGTAAATCAAATATATACGCATACATACATACATTCAATATTAAAAACAGGAAATAAGAAATGTATTCTGCTATATACACATTACGTAATCTCCCTTTTTTAGAAGGAAAAAAACATATTGAAATCGATTTAACTTTGAGACATCAAATTCCGTCTACTGTTTAAATCATACGAATGTTTACACCTGTATTGTATGCTTAACAGGCCTATCTTACAACTATATTTATTGACTATCACGTGAATATGCATATTTTTAAAAAAACCACACATAGACATATCAATCAATATGACAAATTAAAACAAAAGATAAAATTCAAGTATTCGTTAAATGTTCAATATATATATTCAAAGGATGATGGTAAAAATTTAAAAAATGAATGGTGAGATTGTTTGTTTGTTTGTACTCACTGACTTACCAGCTATTTCAACTTGAAATAAGAAAACATATCTATCTGGTGAACCAGGCCAACTAATTTCACACGTATAAAAGTTCACATGATGTACATCAAAATTATTGATTACTAATTTTGAATCTTGATCAGCAAATTGAATATCTCTTAATGTTGAACTAAATGAAATTGAATATTGTTTTTTTTGAGTAGAAGAAAAAAATATGCATGTGTTTTAATAAAGAATTTGATGATAGCAAAACAAATGTCATTACTGTAGGCTCAATTTAAAATAATTCTATATATATATATATATATATATATATATATATATATATAAAGACTTGATGAAGTAATAACTTGAAGTCTTGAGGTTTGATTATACCAATATGAATGACATTCTGACTGACATAGAATCCTGCCTATTATTATTATTATTGTTCCCTTGGGTTCCCAGTGGAACATAGGGCTTCAACTACACGTCTCCACTTGTTTCTGTCTTCTGCTGTACTTTTCACTTGCATCCATGTTAATCCATACTGTTTCAATTCCTGTTCACACGATCTCCTCCATGTCACCCTTGGACGTCCCACTCACCGCTTCCCCTTTCGGGTTCCATTCGAGCACTGGCCTGACTCGCGATGTCACCCAGCGGCCTCCTCAGCGAGTGTCCAATCCATCTCCACTTTCTCCTGCATATTTGTTGAGCGATTGGTTCTTGTTTTGTTTGTTCCCATAGTTTATTGTTGGTGATTCTTTCCGGCCATCTGATCTTCAGTATAGAACGAAGACAGTTGTTAATAAAGGTCTGCAACAGGCTGTTGGAAATATTCTTTGTGACCCGCCAAGTTTCTGATCCGTATAGAAGAACTGACTGACTTGACGTTTGTATTGAAAATCCGAATTTTGTTGTTGATGCTGAGTTGAGTGATGAAGATTTCCAGATTGATTTCAGGTTGATGAATGCGCTTCTCGCCTTCCCGATTCTCGATTTGACATCTTCGTCCGTTCCTCCTGTAGTTGAGACAATGCTCCCTAGATAAGTGAATGAAGTAACCTCCTACCTATACTACCGTCGATTTCATTGGGCTAGATCAACCGCCCACTCAACTCTATTTAGTCTGGCATCTTGATATATATTCTTATCATCCTTACAAATTAGGCAAACTTGACAAATAGAATATCATTTCGTGTCATTAGAAAGGGAATATTCTTAAAATACCTCATCACTTTTGTATAGATATAGGAATATTGTGAGACAGAGTTGGAATTCTTCCAGAAGATACAATCTAGACGAATACGATTCAGTTTATTTTTTAAACTTCACAAATCGTTATTAGATGGTTGGAGGCGATCTACAGGAAGGCGTGACCTTGCAGCCTTGAAGGAACCCTTCTCTTCTCTGAGAATCGAACGTATGTCACCCGATGCTACATAGCCAGAGACGTTATCCACTCTCAGTTACTCGGACTCACCATCGACCTTCTCTACAGGGCCCTAATGCGCACGTTGACTTATCACTAGATAATAACCAATGTGGTGCATTTAGTCCTTGGTTTAGTTCAGATTGAATTCTATCAAACATTTGAAGATATTAAGGTTCAGATTGTTAGAATGCACTTCGTATTTGATTTTCTATACACCAATCCATAGTTTTATCGTTTAGACAATTAAGCTTTTCGACTGTAGAACTTAGTGACACTGATCCAAATCATCGAGGCGACACCAGTTCCTTTCCGAGATATGCAAATACGCTTTTCTGACGATTGTCAGTAAATATGAAGCAGTAGATTCCATTGAACCACTAAAAACCACTTCAATTTTGAAGAGATTATGATGTATATATATATATATATGTATAGAAAGCAAAAGGATTGAGTGAAGAAATATTTACTTTTCAATTAGATCCTCATCTCTGGCTGTAGTCTACTCTTCCAACATGGTTAAGCAAAGGATAAAGAAACGATCTATTCGTAACTCTGTTTTAGCACACCTTGTAGATAGTGAGCATAAAGTTGATGTCTAATACAACATCTAAAATTATTTATCGCATTCCCACTAATCTTAATTTTGTTTTACAAGTTCGTCTTCTACATACAGCTGAAGGCATAGGAATCCACCTGAAGAAGAAGAAGAAGAAGCCAAACTTGTGTTTTCAGAAGAAATTTGTACACTCACTTTCCATACATTGGCCGTTGTTAGATGAATGTATAAGCCGGACTATTTCGCACTCCCACCTACTAAACCTTTAAAAATTATAATTGTCGAGATTATTTTATTATTTTTCTGACTGGTTCATCTTTAATTACAACTTATCACCGTGCAAATCGTCTTACTTTTCCTTAACAATCTATTACGTGATCAACTTGGTTGGTCACTCGCTTATTCCTTAATTACTCTCTTCATTTTTCCTAAATTATGCATTATTCAGTCCATTTGTTGTAACCATTTCTGTCTTTTAATTGTGTCTACAAGTTTTCTTCGTTAATTATCACCCCGTTGACATGTTGATACTGACTAACTATTGTTAACAAACATATCACCACTTGATTGGTAAATTGTTCTGTATTGTCATAAAAATGCTATATATATAATTCCTTAACGTTCTCAGAGGAACATAGGGCTTCAAGCTACAGACTTGAAGTTTCGGTAGCAGTTGTGTTTATTTCTACGGGATGGAGTTGCTAGTCTAGCGAGGTAAAGGAGTGCGTCGGTGGCCGGGGATCGAACTCTGAACCACCTGCATGATTGGTGAGCATTCTACCGCTGTGCCACCAACGCACGAGCTTTGAGCCCGACGTGATATATATATATATATATATATATATAGACAATTTTATCTCATGTTAAATGAAACACTTATAAATTCAAAGCTTACACAGGTTGCTGTTGTTCTCCTAAGCGTGGCATTAATCCCCATACGGTAATCGGTGTTATTGCATCACTTGATTTCTGTACACCTGGTTGAGGACAGACCAACTCAACTGAACGACCACGCATAACAAATTTAGAAAATTCATTATTTGATAAATCTGTTATCAATTTCGGTGGATTATCATCTAAACAAAGTAGAGAACACAGAAAAGTAAAAAAATAAAAATAAAACTAAAGAAGCTTGTTAAAAACCGAAAACAATACTGCCTTAGGCAAATCGAGAACATATGACAACTAATCGCTACAGGCAAATACATCAAGTCTATGTTATGATTTAAATGGACGCTTGATTTTAATGAAAATAATAATTACAAATAAATCTGTGAATATCAGATTGGGCACTAAAGCTGGCTATAGAAGCCCAACGGCAACCATTACAACAAAAAATACACCATAAATGAACAGTTGTTGTGAGCTGAATTCAAAGGATATATGATTCTAAGAGGAGGCGAAGAAAACACCTAGCAGGTGCAAACTCAGTCGAGTAGTTTCTGTAGAGTCAGTTTGTGGGGATTTGATTACGGAGCGATTTCAGCTGGAGAACCTCTTTTACCTACCTGGGAAGCATCAATTCAACTACAGGCGGAACTGACGAGGATATCAAAGCAAGAATCTGAAAAGCAAGACAAGCTTTCACTACTCTCAAGTCTGTGTGGAGGTCAACAACACTCAGCATCAAAAATAAGATCTGGATTTTTAACTCCAATGTGAAGACAGTGCTACTATACGGATCAGAGACTTGGCGCGTCATAAAGAGCATCTCAAACAAACTAAAGACCTTCATTAACAGTTGTCTTCGCTCAATACTCAAGATCAGATGGCCAGCCAGAAAAGATCAGCAACACGCATCTCTGGCAATGAGCGAACCAACCAGGAAGCGATTGTGAAACAAATAGGCTGGAAGAAGTGGAGATGGATTGGCCATACTCTGAGGAAACCATCAAGTGACATCACTAGACAAGCCATTGCTCGAGTGGAACCCGAAAGGGAAGCGGCAAGTTGGTCGTCCAAAGGTGACTTGGAGGAGGTCATGTGAAGAGGAGATGAAAACGTGTGGACATACATGGAGCCAGGTGAAGACTCTAGCAGAGAACCGAACGCAATGGAGACGCACGGCTGAAGCCCTATGTCCCTCTAGGAATTAAAGGATACAATAATAATAATAATACTCACCCGCCGCCTTTCGAACTCAGAATGTTCCAGTTTCAAGGTGAGCTCTTAGACTATTCAGTCAGACCTGGTGAACCAGACTGGTCATGACTTCGCACCAGAACTTCACACAACTTCGTCGTGTAGCCATTCAATAGCAAGCATCGAATACATTTATCTTTCAACAATGGCGATGATGATGTATACTCACATAAAAATCAATAAGATCTGAGTGGTTCTCAAGTTAAAAGTGCTTTTTTGTAACTTTGAACATTCATTGTGTTTTGATGAAAATTTTTTCTAGTTCATCGGTGAAACAAACAAAACTGACAACGTGCGAAAACAAACTTTCTATAGACAGTTCCTCAGTATTACTTTTATTAGTCTGGTTTAAATGCTGACCATTATATTGCTAATGATTTATAATTCTTCCCTATTGCTTACACTCTCAGGGGAACATAGTGTTTTTTTGAAGTTTCAGTGATGGTAAAAATACTAGCTTCACACCCACCCCTCCCTATTCTTCTTGGTCCACTTACGGCCTATAAATTAGGGGAAGTTTAGTCGTGCGTTAGCCAAGAATGGAAGTAGGACTCTCTTACGTGGGATTTGCGAGTACTGAACCGCTGAAAGACCAACACAGAATGCCTCCAATTTCGGCACAAATGATCATAACACTTATATGGTACTTCAATAGAATTTTTAAACTCCAGTTAATTTTGCTGTTCATCTGTATTTATCTGTGTTTGTGTGTGAGTGTATTTCAGTGTGTACACCTGTCTAATTAATGTACATTCACTAGAAATGCATTTCAAATAAGAGAAATTTGATTAGTCATTTTAGGCTTGAAGAAAATTAAGTGATCAGTTGGTGACCACCAAATCATCAGAGGAAAGATCGCTAGGCTGCTCGCCAACGATGCACATAGTCCGGGTTCCACTCCCGCTGACCATGCATCTCCTAGATACGGGTCATTATCAGTGAACAAAAAAGCTTAAATCTTCTCAGCCATCTCGATCAGACACTTGAAACCAGATCTATATGTTCAGAAAGAAGCAGTCATCAGTCTTTCCTTGCCTCGCCATGGTAAATGGATGTCTTTAATCTTTCTACCTTTCATTTGATACCATAATCTGTGGCTTTTACCTCACCCCCCCATGATATAGTTTAACTTGGCTTGTTTCTTCTTTCTTGGATTTTAGTTGAACTCAGTACATTGTCATTCAACTTACTGGTCACTCATCATCTTACGCACCTCTCGTCTTCATTACGTAACTCCCTTACCATTGTATGTATACATTCACTTTGTTTAAACTTGGACTGTCTGTGTAAGAACTATATGTGCATAATTTTCTGAGCACTGTTCACTTAGTCCGGAGCATCGTGTCAACTGACATCATATAAAATTTGAAAGTATGCTAAAACTTTTCTGTACATGAACTTAATAATAATAATATCTTTAGGCTGTAAGCAGCAGGTGATGAGAAGCCAACGAAATGAAATAAATGATGGTGTCTGCACAAACCACTGTTGTTCTTGCTTTATTAAACAGAAATAAGTCTTCACAACTAATCAGTAAAACAATGTTGATCATGTCGACAAAAACTTGAAGCAAGTGGAGTTTATAAGATATAAGAATATTGTGCAATGCAGTAGTCGAGAGTAACAACATTATTTGAGGGAAAAGTTACAGTCGAATTTTGTGATTCTCACCCTCTCAGTATTCTATCAGCCGTCCTAAATGACTGTACAGATCTACTACCAAGCCGATAGATGACAAATCTAGCCGTCTGAACGATACAACAACTGAGATATTGACAATGAATATGAACATTGAACGTTGATTCATTGACCTTGGTCACCACTGGCGGGCAACTCGAAGGCGCAAATGGTTCGATCGTGTGCAAGTTCGAAGACAAGAAGAGAATACGAATAAAAGTACCTTCTAATTTTGTACAAAACATTTGTTTATAGACTTGTATTAATCTTTGCTTTAATTGCTTAACAATATAACTTCGTTCAAAGAATACTGGTGTTTTGGAGTTAAAGTCGAAACAAGTACATAGTCATTATCGGTTCAAAGCGTCTTCGTTACAATAGGAACTTAGGGCTAAGTTCCTTGACAGATATATTATTCCAAATCACGATTATGATGATGATGATGACGATGAAAGTGTTGTTTAACTTAAAAAAGATTACTTCTCAACATCAAGGGGAGTGGTGGTGTAATTGTTATTGTCCAGTGAGTAATTAATAAAGCCGAGCAGCAATCAAAAGCATAAACTTTCGTAGTCCATGTCAAAATGTCAAACTATAAAGAAACGACCGAATTCGAATGTCTATTCTATATTCATCGCTATGTCGTCTAGACATAGTCAGCGACAATGGAGACACGCCCAGACACACGCATACAAGAACAAATCGGTTTAATCGGTTAACATACATATCTACTGACAAAAAGTCACTTTACGTGATATTAATGAACATAAGACATATATATAGTCCAGTTTTAACAATAATAACTTAATTTGAATCATTCACTGTGATGATTAAAACAATAAGATATTTAAATTTTTAAAATTTAAATCTAGTTTCTTTTTCTGTCCCTTTTTTTAATACTTTATTCAGTTAAAATAAAGAAAAGTGGACACATGAAAAGTAATGAGTGATTTCCGCTGATGTGACATTAGCGAAATATTTACAATTTACTCTAAATGATGATTGTGTAGATGAAATAAATTTCTGAAAATAAGGTTAAATGCGCATAAGCATCGTTATGTGTAGGCACACATACACACACACAAGCGCATAACTGAAAGCAGTGGACTCTCTGTCGTCAATCCTAAATATATTCTAGCGGGCGCGTTGCACCTCATTCGACAGCTAAACGACAATGGCACGTGTCAAGCGATACACAATGGGAAACTCAGCGAAACCTTTGAAGACAGGTGTAAGACAAGGCTTCCTGCCCCAACTACTGCCGATGATATTGCTAACTGTAGTGAACTTGATCATGTAGAATATCGTCCATGGGGAACAAGACGTGAGGAATACACTGGACTGATAAGAAGACTCTAGAAGGTCTCGACTTCACTGGATATTTATGTCTAATGACACAGAAGTTCGAAAATCTACAGACAAAACCCAACAGATTGATAGGAGACGCAGTCAGAGAGGACAGGACTTCAAGTGAACATAGAGAAGACAAAAGTGATAAGGAAAACAGACCAACCAACCACAACAGGCACCAGGCACTGTCAAGGGAAAAAATCTGAAAGAGGTCACCACTATCACTTATCAAGGCAGTATCGCTTCAACTACAGAAGACGGCACGGGTGAGGATGTCCAAGCCAATCTGGATCGGACTTGAAAGGCAGACCTTTATCACTCAGAAATCAGTTTAAAAATCTTCTGTACTCTTCAGCATAAAGAAGGAAATTCGGATTCTCAACACCAATGTTAAGTTAATCAGTTCTTCTATATGGGTTAGAAACTTGGTCAAAACCATTCCCAACAGGCTTCAGACTTTTATCAGTACCTGCCATCTTTGGCTTCATACTGAAGATCGGATGGCTAGCCAGAAGGGATTAACAATCAAGAACTCAGGGAGCGAATCAATCAGCAAATTATTTCACCACGTATGTGTTGAAGAAAATCGAGGTGAATCGAACACACGCTGAGGAGAACGTAGAGTGAAATAGCGAACCAGGCCATTGTTCGAGAGGAACCCAAATGGGAAACAGCGAGTTGGACGTGTATTGGAGTGTGACATGGGAGAGACAAGAGCCTATGGGCGGTCGTGGAACCAGCTAAAAAGGACTGCATAGAATAGGATGAGATTGAGACGTGCTGTTTAAGCCCTATATTGCACTCGGAACCAAAAGGAATAATAATACCCACAGCAACTCATTTTTGAGTACAAATACCACTGTCACACAACATAAACATAGGGAAATGTTGTAAACTGTCTAACTGA